TAAGAAAAAAAAAAAAAAAAAAAAAAAAAGGCAGTAAACTGGCCCCCGGCCCAAATCTGTTCTACCTCTTAGTTTTTGTAAATGAAGTTCATTGGAACACAGCCATATTCATGCTTACATAGTGTCTATGGCTACTTTGGGGACACAATGGCAAATTGAGTATTTATAACCAAGATGATATGGCCTGCAAAGTCTAAACATTTACTATTCCTTTACAGAAAAAGTCTGCTGACTCTGGAACTAGATTGCTAGACCCTAAGTCCTTGAGGGCAAGGATCAAGTACACGTTGCTCACAGCTGTAACCCCAATACACACCACAGTACTTGGCACGTGTACGTAACTCAAATACCTGCTGAAAATGTGTTCATGCATGACAAATGTTTTTTTTAAAAAAACACCTGATCACCACGATTCCTGGTAATCAGACTACTTAACAGAATACCCTATAAGAAAGTGATGTGCAAAACAATTCAGAAATAAATAACCTGTCAGTAATCCATGCATTGGGAATATGATCTTCCTTAGGTCAAAATTTTTACATTTACTTGCAATTGTAGCATATGTATCTTTTCAAATAAAATGTGGCACTTTGAACAATTGCTTTAGTGTCTACTATATGCCAAGATATGCTAGTCCCTCAGTGGAGCATGGAGAAAGGGAATGAAGATAAGTCACAGTCCCTATTCTCAATAAGTTTAAGAATCTGGGGGAAGGGGTGGCGGGTAAACAAAGAATTACAATGGGGCACAATGGGTAAGACAGAGTCCGAGCAGACTGCCATGTGGATCCAGAGTGTAATGGCTCTGCAACAGTCTTAAGAATAGCCAGTGTCTAAAAAACAGGCTGTGAGTGTAGATTCTAACTATGTAATTCAGAGAAGGCTTTACATTTTAAGAGAAACTCCATAATCAAATTGAATTCAAGAAGTCTGTTTATTCAAATTCATTCACTCATTTATTTATTCAAATATTTACTAAATGTCCAATAAGGGCAAGCCCTGTGCTAAGAGCTGGAAATATAATTGGGAACAAAAACTGTACATGATCCCTAACCTCAAGGAGTACAAACAGACCCTTTTAGGGATCCTATAAGGTCAAACTATTTTCATGAGAATACTTAGTTATTTGCCTTTTTCAGTTTCATCTCTTCAGAAGTGTACAATAGTTTTCCAGAAGCTACATATGTGATATCACAAGAGATCCAATGCAGGTAAGAGAATCCAGCTGTCTTCAATAGCTAGACACTGAAGAGGCATGCAAAAAATGTGGAACAACGCCATTTTTCTAACTATGTTTTCCAAAACAAAAGAATGATTTTGTGAAAATGTATTATTTATGTTAACAAAGTAATGGGACTTGTTAAAAATGAATGAATAAATATTTTTAAATTACACAGTTTTAATTTCTAATGTAGTAAATATTGGTCAATATAACCCACATAAATAAAAGTTCTTTGGTTCCTCAGTAATTTTTAAGAGTACAAAGGAATCCTGAAAACAAAAAGTCAGAACCACAAGTTGAACAGGATTAACCCAGAGAACACCAGAGGAGAGAATGTGCCACACAAAGAGAATGGTGTAGGGAGGGAAAGGTTCTGGGTAGTCACCTGATCTATGGAATGTATAAACCAGAGATGTAACACAGGTTTCCAAGTGTTTCCATACCACTTTGAGGTATGCAAAAGGCCTTAAAGATAAGCATCCTATTCCCTGCAAAGAGGGTTCACTAAACATAATAAGAACAGGCTCCATTTCACGAAGCTTTAGCTTGTGCTATCACAGGACACATCTGTGCCAAACAGAGCTCCCACCTCTTCAGATTAGTATTAACCAGAACTGGCCCTCAGCCCAGCTTTTTGGGGTGTAGGGAGCATCTTAAAACCACTGATCCGTGCTTTCTCCCTCTCTTCCCTTTCAACCTCGGTACAAGAGGTGAAAGAAGCTGGAAGAAAACTGAGGAATGATATGGTCAGGACATAGTTTATAGATCCATACGAACAAAAGTGTGTGTTTTTAGTGTGCATAGCGTCTTTCTGACTGGTACAAAGAAAGGTTTGGCTACATTAGAATTTTTTAATATTTCAGAAGACCCAAATTAAAGCTCAACTTAAATTGCAGTCCCAAATAAAAATATACAACACAAGAAAGTTATTATGGCTTTTTAAAAATGGTAGTACTGAAGTGTTTATCTCTCTTCATAATATGCTATTCAAATTTCACCTGCCCTAAAAAAAATAAAGAAGTCATTCAATTTTGCTTGTTCTCATGTGGCATTCCAGTTAAGTAATGGATCATTCAGCATATTTTGTAGTAATTAGAAATAGAGATAAATAGAAAGCACTTTCTACCACAACACATACATTCTCTAACACAAATTTTTTTAAAACTGATTTGAGAGAGAGAGAAAGGGAGAGGGAGAGAGGGAAACATCAACCGGTTGCCTCCCGTAAGGATCCTCACCGGGGACAAAACTGGAAACCTGGACATGTGCCCTGGCCAAGAATCGAACCAGCAACCTTTCAGTGGACAGGCTGACACTCAACCAACTGAGCCACACCAGCCAGGGCCAGACAAATATTTAAACTGGGCAAGGATCACTTTTGACTCAAATTTAGTGATAAATAGCAGAAAAGTTTCCAGAGGATAAATCATAAAACCACCAATTCATTTATTCAATATTTACTGAGGATCTACTGAATGCCAGATACTTCTGATAATGGAGTTATAAACCACAGACTCTCTCCCTCAGAGAACTAGAAGAAATAAAAGGTGCAAGGTTCTTAATAATTCTGAACTTTTAGAAAAGCTTTAGAAGTAAGAGATTACTTTGGAATTCCTGATCATCCAAATTGCCCCTTTCCTCTATCCATAAAACTCTCCTCTGCACTGAGTGAATGCCAAACTAGGCAATGAAGCCAGAACTTAGTGTAACACCTGGAATATCAATATTACCTGGGGGTGGTATGTTAGCAGAGTGTTCTCTTTTACTGGAAAAGTATTACTGCATAACATAAAAGTACAGTAACTAAATTGTTAAGATTTTATCCATCCTTTCAACACTTATTAAGCATCTATTCTGTAAAATAAATAAAATTCCTTTAAGTTGCTTATTTTAAAAGCCAGTAATTATACCACAGTTTGATGTGTCCTATGATACCATATAAGAAAGTTCTAAAAATAGACTTTCAAAAGCTGGTGCTTATTGCCCAAACCTGCCCACTGAAAATGTTCAGGCTTTATAAGTAATTCCACAAATAACTGATGATTAATGTTTTAACTTCAGCTATAACCCATTTATAATTTTAGAGTACTATTGTACAAAAAAAATGCACCAATAAACCCAGGATTCTACAAATGTGTGACTATTTTTAGTCCACCAGGTACCTAAGGGGATGTTATGATTTAGTAGTACATATAGCAAAAGGCTATAGAAATAAATGAGAGTATTTGTCTTCCAGGGGCCTATGATTAAATTCTGCTAAATGCTGGAAGATATACTATGCAAGCAACAATTTATTCTACTTTATACAACTCAATGGCGGCTTTCTGAAAGAGCTCCATTAAGGGGCACAAAATATCTGAAGATCTAATGAAAGAAGTTGCCTCACAGCTGAGCCAGTGTGGCTCAGTGGCTGAGTGTTGACCCAAGAACCAAGAAGTGGTAGGTTCAACTCCCAATCAGAGCACATGCCCGGATTGTGGGCTCGATCCCCAATAAGGGGCATGCAGAAGGCAACCAACTGATGTTTCTTTCATAGATGTTTCTATTTCTCTATCCCTTTCCCTAAAATAAATTTTTAAAAAATTAAAAAAAAAAAAGGAGTTGCCTCATAAATGCTTACAAGTCCAAACACGGACCTGCTTTATGGTTATGCAGCTGTTTTAGTGGAAAGATCTTAGAATCAATAAAAATAAAATTGTTGTTATAATATTTACTCGTCTCCTTTGAAGAAAATGTGTATATAAAAAGGTAATGGGCCCTATGTTCATTGCACTGTTATTTATAATAGCCAAGATTTAGAAGCAGCCCAAGTGCGCATCAGTAGGTGAGTGGATAAAAAAGCTGTGGGACATTCACACAATGGTATACTACTCGGCCTTAAAAAAAGAAGGAAATCTTACCCTTCTGCAACAGCATGGATGGCCCTGGACAGTATTATGTTAAATGAAATAAGCCAGTCAGAGGAAGACAAGTACCATATGATTTTACATATGTGGAATCTAATGAACAAAATTAACTAACAAAATAAAAACAGAGTCATACAGAGAACAGACTGGCAGCTGTTAGAGGGGAGGAGGGTTGAGGGGCTTGGTGAAAAAGGTGAAAGGATTAAGCAAAGAAAAACAAAAAACTCATAGACACAGACAACAGTACGGTGATTACCAGAGGGGCAGGGGGTGTGGGGAAGTAGGAGAGGGGGAAGGGGGAATAAATGGTGATGGAAGGAGACTTGACGTGGTGAACATGCAATACAATATACAAGTGATGTGTTATAGAATTGTACACCCGAACCCTATGTAATTTTATTAACCA